GGTGGGGGGACGGTGGGTTCTGCCCCTGCTTCCATAGGGTGTCATGCTCAGAGCAGTGGGTCTCTGGGGTCCGAGTGTCCCGAAAGCCATACAGAGGACATCAGCTGCCCGTGAAGGTCCTAGTTCTGCTGCCAGGATGCTGGATCTGGGACTCAGAGGCAGTGGAAGGTCCCGGTTCAGTGTCTGGCACCAGACCCCTCGTGGGTATGACCCTGCCCGTTTTACCCTGACACAGGCCAGGGGCTGCTCCTGCCTCTGGCATCCCCACTGCACAGGACTCCGGGGGCTCCCAGGGCTCCTGGGGCGCCCAGTCCCGCCCTGGCCCTTCCTGCAGTGCCATGGGCTCAGCCGAGCACGCGGCACCATCACTGGGATGGCTCCATGTGCTCCTTGGTGGCAGGGCCACAGCTCCCAGGCCCTGCTACAAGTCAGGACACTACATTCCCTGCTCCTCCAGTAGCTGCAACGTGGATAAATTGCTGTGTGCTGCCCTCAAGAAATCCATCAAGTCAAACAGTGACTCCCACCTCCATGCCAGGACAGTTTGGGGCTGTGGATTGGGGCAGGACTCTGGTTTTTAGGGGGTGCTGTCCCTGTCTTGCTGCCATGTCTGGTGCTGTGCATCCACGGCCTCAGGACAGTGCTGGCAGTGGGCACCAGAAGCCTCGGGGCTGGGGGTGTAGATGGAGCTGATGGCTGGCGGGCTGCAGACCTCCTGCCTGCACCCCAGGTCCGCAAGGAGGGGCACAGCAGGAGCTGGTGTTCCCACTGGATGAGTTCTCCCACCACTGGAAATGCCAGAGGAGTGCTGTATGGCACAGCTGGGGCTCAGCATGGGGCACAGGCTTTCCTTTCCCAGGGCTGCACGTGGCATGGCAGGCCTGGGCGGGCTCCCACGTGCTGCACAAAGCAGTAAAAATAAAAATGAGGCTGGTGTGGGACTGCTCCCGGTGGAAAAAAGCTTGTACCAGGGGTTGGAGCCTCCACAGGAGATGTTTCACGGGTCCCCCTGACCAGTGGAATGCAGCCCAGCTTCCGATACCAGCAGCAAGGAGCCAGCACCAGTCCAGTAGGACTCCAGCGCCCCATAAGTCAGGGATACCAAGTGATGACTCTATCACATACAAGGCCACTGTCCCAGCACAAGGGGGACTGAGGACCAATGACAAGGATGTCTAAGTTCTTTTGGGTCACATTCAGCTGGAGCACTGGGAATACAGGCACTCCCAATGTCCTTGGAGCACAAAGCCAGATGCAGGGGAGCTGCTGGGGATGGGGGCAGAGTCACTTATTTTCACCCAGACGATGCCCATAGCCATTAACACAGCATCACATGGTCTCCCTGCGCCAGCCCCCACGGCACAGGGCACTGCACAAGCCCAAAACACCCAGTTCCCTCCCCAAAGGCCTGGGGTGACACAGGATGGGGCTGGGGTGTACTCCCATAGGGACTCTTCGTCATGGCTGGCTCTGCCCTGAGCCCCATCCCAGGCCGGGAGGGCAGGAAGAGGTTCCCCGATGCCAGTGACTCAGCTGAGGGGGTTGTTTTGCAACACACTGGGTGTGGGAGGCTCCTGGTGCATGGAAAGTAGGCGGAAAATTATCCGACTTATTCAAGGTGTGTGGTGAGCGCAGGGCCAGGGAGGCTGGTGGGCAGGGAGCAGGCCGGGGGGTGATGGACCTGCAGCACGAAGCTGGGGCAGGGGCTCCCGCTCAAGGGCTCTCAGCGGGACAGCAGGTGCTGAGGGCCAGGATGGTGACTCTGGGCTGAGCTTCCTCACAATTTGGTGCCTCTGCACCTTCCCCACATTGATCTGGAGCAAACAAAACAAAGGCACAAATATCTCCATTAGGGCGAGAGGTAAAGATGGTCCTGACAGAGAGGCTGGATCCGACCGAGCATCACCGGTGGCATGGGCACCTCGGCCTCCACCACCCCTCTGACTCACTGACACAGTTTTCTGCTGGCTCCTTCCCCCATCCCGATACATATTTCTAGTGGACTTTTCAGTGTGTTTGGTTTTTTGGGGCTGTTTGTTGTCAGTTAGTTATTTTATTATATTTATTGTTAGAAATAGGGTTATTTTTAGCACGCTGTTGGTTTAGATAGAGATGGGATTAGTCATCTCACCAAGAGCTGTTTGCAGTCTCTCCTCAAGGATTCTCTGGGGTTTGTTTTCCAATCAACTGAGATCATGTATCCAAAGAAATAAAAAATAAAAATAGTCAGAATAACGCGCAGCAGCCACACTCTGGTGCCTCTCCATGAGTTACGGGATGGAAATGAGGGAAGGATCCAACCCAGGATATTTATGAGACAAAGACAAGAACATTACTATGAACCTCAAAGTATTTTGGAAAGTCAGTTCGAGCTGTTTTTTTTTTTTTTTTGGTCTCTTGGGAACCGAATGCTGAGTAACTCCCTTCCCACACCAGGCTGCTGCTCCGTACAGCTGGTACGCAGCCTCTTGACAGTGGAAACTGCTTTCCCTTGCCCTATGCCAGCGTGAAGAAGGCAGGACTCCTGGGTCTTCTGAGATATGCAGCCACCTACACGCTCAGGCTATTAAAATAAAACCATAAAAGACACCCAAAAACCTAAAGTGGGAAAAACATTTGTTCCTCTCCCACACCGAGCGCAGGGACAGGAGCGGTGTGCGGGCTGGGGGCAAAGCCAGGAGGCCGAGAGCAGCGTCCTGTGCGTGGAGCAGCATCTCCACCCTCCTTGCCGCGACTTTCTGTCTCTCCCTGCCGCCATTCCTCCTTCTGAGCCAAGCAGGAGCAGACTCCCATGCCAGTTTCGGGGAGACCAGTTTGGCTCTTAAAGATCGGAGTTGCATGCAGGGAGGAAACAAAGTTCGTGGCTCATCTCATCACTTGCTGGTGTAGAAGTGCCACTGCCAGCCCGTCCCTGTCAATGCTGGTGCCCTTGGGATGCAGAGCT